TTCCTGTTACATGAGCTGTGTAACTGTAGATCTGCGGCGCTGTCAGGTTACACCACCGGTGCCTCTCAACCAGGCTCTGCTCTTGACTCATGCCTATTTTTAGCTCTTGCTGACCAAACCTGGTGTCACATGCTCATCCCTGTTTGGTTTGAAATCGCCTATAAATACCTGTAACAAGAGTCTTAAACTGGGAGTAGGTTATAGAAGTGCACATGGGCCTTAGAAGCGGTGCTGGCTCATTCAGAAGAGCCAGATAAGAATCTCCTCTCATCCTTTACGTGGATCGTTCAGTGCTGCGAAGTTGGAGGCTTGCTGCGGTTGGCGTGTGGTGCTTGCCGCTGTCACCAGGCATCAAGGAGATGGATGGTCTCCTAGATCTCTCCCAACTCGCCATCCAGCAGTCATCTTGCTGAGCTGTTGCCATCCAGTTAAACACACAGGTCTCCTGTAGTTTGGGAAGCTCATGGATCCCACAGGCTTAGGAAGTGTGTCAGGATATGCCTGTGATTCCTCAGGCTTTTCCTGAGATGTGGGTTCTGTCACAGACAGGATTTTGGGTGGGTGCAGGTGGGGTGAACCTCTTTCCTGATACAAAATGTTTGTTCTTCTGATATAAATAACTAAAACGTTCCCTCTTTTCTTTGTTCTGTGCAACTAATCTACCTTCCTTGAAGGTTACGGAGTGTTCCCTTTTAGCTTTGCCTGGCCTCCTTGGCCTTTTATGAAAACATCCCACATGAAGTTTGTAATCGCAGAATGCTGTGTCTGGGGAGGGACCTCGAGGTCCCTTGTCAAGCCTTCTGCTTGAGGCACATTCAGCTGGAGCAGGTTGCGTGGAGCTGTGTCTGCGTCTCCAAGGATGGAGATTTCGCTGCCTCTCTGGGCTGCTCTTCCAGCGTTTGACCTCTGTCATGGTGAAAGCTTTTTTCTGTATACCATGTCAGATGTTCCCGTGTTCCAGCTTGTGTCCATTGCCCCTTGCCTCTTCTCAGTGTTTTGGTGCTTGTTTGTCAGAGTGAGGATGGGTGAGCGTGTTTGTTTGGATTGAAGCAACTCCTTTGCCCCGTTGACCTTGCCAGCAGCAGCAGTGGGTTATTCTGGGCAGAGCCCTTCCAGAGCCTGTGTGCTGGGGATCATTGCCTGAAAATAAGCTTGGGGGTAGCGTTTCTGCCAGAACAGCATGGGACTCTGGAGGTGTCTCCAGCCCTTATTTGCCTACGCTCTATTAAAAGGGAGGGCTGTTTGGGTGACATCCCAAACAAGGGTCATCTGAGAGCCATCCCTTGCTTCTAGGAGCTCTCCCTCGGCTTGCTGAGGCCCTCTGCCATCTCCTGTTTTCACTACACCGATGGGCTTGGGGGCTGATGGCCTCTGCTTGCATGGGGACAGCACATTGGAGGCTGTTCCTGTGTGTTTCTGGAGGTGTGTTGCTGTGCTGTGGGTTCCTTTGTCTGTAGAGCACTCCCACATGGCTGCTGCGGAGCATTTCACGTGGGCAGAGGGGTTCGGTATTTTCAGATCAGTGCGAAGGAGTTCTTGTGACTTTTTATCTTCTCCCTCCCACTAGATTATGACAAAGCGGGAGGATCTTGTTGTGGCCCCAGCTGGTGTAATGTTGAAAGAAGCGAATGAAATTCTGCAAAGGAGTAAAAAAGGTACCTGTGAACGTCTGCGACATGAGGGAGAACTGTGGAAGTACTGGGCTGGGAGCAGTTGTGGGTGAATGTGGGCACGCATCCGTGTGTGGGTGGGACATGGAAGGGCAGCATTCCAGCACGAGGAGAGGACAGTGAGGAGAGAGTGCCCGCAGCCCTCTGCCAGGGTACAGAGTTCACATGCGTTCATCTCAAATCTGTTTGAAGTTGAGGGATTCTTGGCAGCCCAGGAGCTGAATTGCTGCCTGGCTGTTCAGCCACACGTCTTCAATTTTCTATCCCGGCCTTCACATTTTGGCACTCAGTTCAGCTCTGTCAGGGTTTGGTAGTTTGATTTTTAACACGGTGTCATGGGTCTAATTATTAAAAAATACGCACTTTTTTATTGTCAGTGTGAGGATACTGAGTCCTTTTCCTGTCCTGCAAACTCCTTGCTCTCTTTCTTGAGCCAGGGCTGCTGGCGTCTGTGGCCAAGCAATATTTGGTAACGCACCTTTGAGTCTCCACCTTATACCAGTTGTGGCCTGCCTGATGCTGCTGGTCTGCCACACTGCTCTGGCCCTAATGTCTGTCTCCTGCAGAAATCTGCAGTGATCTTTCTGTTTGTTTCAAGGCAAGCTGCCAATTGTTAATGAAGATGACGAGCTGGTGGCTATAATTGCCCGCACTGATCTCAAGAAGAACAGGGACTACCCTCTGGCTTCTAAGGATTCTAAGAAGCAGCTGCTCTGTGGTGCTGCTATTGGGACCCACGAAGATGACAAGTACCGGCTGGACCTCCTGGTGCAGGCTGGCGTGGATGCGGTAGTGCTGGTGAGCCACCCACAGGCACCACATTGGCCTGGGGGGGTTGGGTGGGCTGAGGGTCTGGTTTGAATAAATCCCTCTGGCAGTGGGGCAGCAGCATGGCACTTACTGTCTTCATTACAGGCCCTTTTGTGTTAGAATACGACAATTTGTTGACCTTTCAGTCTCATTCAGGTTGGAGTCCTCAAATAAGAGGGATTCCTCTTGCCTGGGAACTTAGTCGACCTTGAGTGAGTACGTAGGGTGCATCAAAGCCCTGGCGGCTGAGAAGAGAAACACTGTCAATTAATACAGAGTCTTTTGCAAATGCTTCTTGCAGTCTGCTGACATCCTCTCTGATGTTCCTAACTAGTTTTGAATATTTGGCTTCTTTCAGTTTCCCTTCAACTGTTCAGTGTTTGTTACTGTGTTATTCTCTTAACTGCTGAGTACTCAGGAGTGGTCCGCCCGGAGCTGCTCTGCTCATGTCCCCTTCTGGCCTGTAAGCTTTTGGGCACAGCAGTCACTGCCTGTATTTGCACATTGATTTCTCATCGATAGTTAGCTCACGAGTCCACCATGCTCTGAGGGCATGACTGAGCAGCACCGCAGCTGGAAATGTTTAACAGACACTGCAAGTTGGCCAGGTCACGGAGGTTGGCAGGGCCTGAGCGCTCGGTGGTCAACATCTGGTATTTCAGCCGCTCTTCTGTGCAGCAGGGAGAGATGCATCCCCCCACCAGCCCTGCTGGGTTTCACAAGGAACATTCACTGTTTGACCTGTAGTTTGAGGCAGGGCTGGTGGTGTCCTGGTGATAGAGCCAGACGGTTCTTGCCCACAGCCAGATGTGCTGCTTGTTACCTACTGCTGAAGCTGCAGGATTTAAGTGTGAAGGATATCGCTGAAGTCTTTACAATAAACTGCCTTGCACAGGGAAGGTACATTACTGTCTTGGTAGCAGCTTCTCCTCTGGTTCTGTGCTCAATTTGGGGTCTCATTTTGCTCACTTAGCCAGCAAGTGAGAGACCCCAGTAAGCAGAGTGAAGATCTGAGGCTCTTCCAGAGCTGTATTTGTAATCTTTTGCAGGAATTCTGGTTGAAATTGTTTTCTTTCTGTTGCAGGATTCCTCTCAGGGGAACTCCATCTTCCAGATCAATATGATAAAATATATTAAGGAGAAATATCCTAACCTACAAGTTATTGGAGGAAACGGTAGGCATGTATTGAAGACTGTTCTTGTCTTTAAAGTATGTTGCTTAGACATAAAGGGAACTGCAGGGACGTGGATGAAATGATCCTCTTTGATAGATGTCTGTGAACTTGAGATGGTTTCCTCTGGCTTGTGGAACAGAGCAAGACCACTGTGCAGACAGAAGGCAGTACCCTGCTGCTGCCACAGCTGCAAATATTTTGAAACCTTTGTTCTGCAGCATAGTGTGCTACAGTCCTCTGTAGCCTATTACACATCAGCTTCTTTTACACACCAGTTTAAAATTTTGGATAATAATAATGAATATTGCTTAATGTGGAAATCTAATGTAAATTTTCCCTGCCTCTTGACAGCAGAGTTCAGCAGTCCTTGTTTTTACCTGGCTGGTCTGTTACTGGGGCTGCTCTTAGCCTGTGCTCTGCCCCCGTATCTAGTGTGGCCCAAAGAGCACTTGGCACCGTGCGGTGACCTCTGCTACCTCAGCCTTTGGGTGCAAGCAGAGTAGCCTAAAGGACCAGTATCATCTCACACACTGGGGATGGTGAGGACAGGAACTAACTGCTGCTTTTGCAGATAGGCCTGGTAGCAGTGGACAGGCAGGCCAGGCTCTGATGCAGGTGTATGGTTGGTGCCCTGTGTAGGGGATAGCCATGGGAGAAGCACCAGGGCAGAGCAGTGTTGCATGCAAATCTGCTTGTCTCTCTTCAAACCAGTTTTTGCTCCCCACAGTTGTGACTGCTGCTCAGGCCAAGAACCTCATTGACGCAGGAGTCGATGCCCTGAGGGTCGGGATGGGCAGTGGCTCCATCTGCATCACACAGGAAGGTGAGAGAGATCAGCCTCTCCTAAGTAGGCTGAAGACATCTGTTCAATAGAGATTCCCTGCTGAAAAGCAGTGTAGCCGGGATGGACTTCTCCTGGACTTCTCCCGTTAGAAGGGCAGTGTCTAACAGCAAGCCGTCTTTCACCCCCTTTGTCCAGGACATTCTCATTCTCAAACCTGTGGGGTGGCAGCAGCAGCAAAGGCATTCCCCAGTACTGACCAAGACTGAGTAGAGCAGATGTGGCACGCGTGGCTTTGCCTGAGAGCTGCTGGCTCAGTGTGGGATGGAGCTGGCGGGCAGCTCTGCAAGGAGAGGGGCTTACAGGATCCCCAGTGCTGACAGGTGAAGTGCACTGGGCTGTCTGCGCTCCCCTCCCCTCTCACAGCATTGTGCGTGATGCTTAAGGATTGGTCTGCAGGGTTCAATGCTTTTCTGCGATTTTGAGGCTGAAATGGGATTTCTGACCGTCATCTCTGCAGTTAGCTGGAGCTTGTGTGGGGCGGAAGCTGTGTCGCCCTTAGATAAAAGATGGAGAGGGGTGTCCTCAAGGCCTGGAGAAAGGCTGTCTTGAGGACAGGCTCAGTCCTCGTGTTCTGAACCTGGCAGGTGAGGTGCAGAGTGGTGGTGCAATGTGCTGCAGCCCACGAACACAGCCCTCTCTGCTCCTTGGTCCTTGCCATGGGAGGCAGCAAGAGGGTAGCTGATAGCTGAAGGTGCTGCATTAGCTCTGCCGATTCCAGCATGGAGCCTTCGAGCAGTCCTGGACCTGGGCTGTGTTCCTGCTTTGCCTGCCATGGGAGCACTGGCTGCGGGGAGTTTCCCAATCGGGGCAGTCTCTCTTGGGTGACCTTTCTAGGGAGCTTGCGGTGTCCTTGGGCTGATGCTTCCACAGCCAGAGCAGAACCAGGACACACGTGTCCTACTCTGGCTCCGAGGCAGAGGACCCGCTGAGGCACGCTCTGTTCTGCAGTGTGGTGAACATCTCCAGAGGGTGCCTCTCCCGGCTGCTGCGGGAGGTGGGGTTGGGTGCTGGTTTTGGGGAAGGAACAGAGCGGAGGTAGAATATGGCGCTTCACAGGAGACATGGTTGCGAAACTTGTAACTGGAGCTCCTCAGACTTTTGGCCATCTTAAGGCTCAAACTCTGGCTGTTTGGGTTAGGGGGTCACCTCTCTGGATGGCTGCTGGGGTAGGGTGAGCATGCGCTGTGCACAGCTGGGCCTGGCTGGCTTGGATCTGGCCTCTGGCTTGGCTCGGCTCGGGCTAGGAAGGGTTTGCAAGGTCAGCTCTGTCCCACACCATATGCTCTGCCTAGTAGCAGGTCACTGCTGGGGTCCTTTGTTCTGCTGCTGTTCTTCTGTCTCTAAAATGTGTGTGTTTGTTTTTGTTTAGCTGCTCCAAAGATCCCTCCAGACCTAAAGTCCCACAGCCCCAAATGCCCTTCTACTGTCACGGGCACCTATAGTAAGTCACTTGCCCTGTTCCCAACCCTAATTATGTGTCTTGAAGCAGGACCCTGATTTGGCTGCACATGGCCCTACTGCTTGTTTGAGAATAATTTAGCTGTAGATGCACTTGGGGTTTTGTGGCTTTGGATACTGGTTTTGAATCTGAAATGGAAGCTGAGAAGCCTTTCTGAATTCCTAAAGCAGGGTCTGAACTGTCAAAGCTGAGGGCACTCAGGCTTGTCCACCCTCCACTCCAAAATCCAGTTCAGAAGCCTGACTGAGCTTTCTGGCTGCATCGTCTGGATGTCTAGCTGGGCATGTCCCCACTGATCCAGTGCTGGGAGGTGATCCCTGAGCAGTCCTCGATCCTGCTCTAAATCTGGCCCCAGTTGTGGGGAAGTTGTGCACGGGCTAAGCTTCCCTTGGAGCTAGCTCCCCTGGGGTTACGGAGGGACTTTACTGTGTACGGCCGCCTTGGCAGCTGCGTACCAGAACCACATCTTTCTGCACTGACGCCTGATCCTCCTGAGGAGAGAAAGGGCTCTTCCTCTGCCCAGCACAGGGTGCAGCTTTGTCTGCTCTGTGCTTTTCTGGTGCTGCTGGATCAAGCAGCCACCCGAGGTGAGCCTTGGGTTTTGCCCTTTCTCCTGGTTTTGACGGACCTCAAAGGGAAAGTTTCCGGAAGGTTTTCTCTAGCAGCTGATCTCATAGGGCCACCCTTTGCAGATACACTAAAAAAGACAAACCCTCACCCAGACCACTCGGCGTGTGTGTGCTCTGAACCCTGCTTTGGAAGCCTGTGCTCTGAAGCTGTGGCGCTGGGCACTGGGACAGTCAGAACAGTGCGATGCTCCCAGGCGCCCTGAGCCAAGCTGTTCCTTAAAGGGCTGGTCTCCATGGTCATTGTGAGGTTTCTGCTGGCCCTGCACTGTCTACGGCACAATCCTGTAGACACTGGGCTCCAGACCCTTCAAAATCAAGTGATTGTCTCCACAGAGCTCTTCCGTGCAGTGTTTTGCAGCCACAATGTGGCTTTTAGCAGTGCAGTACCGAGTGAGACCATCTCTTTAAGACTAACGGCATTCGTGTTATAGCTGGCAGACTCTCCCTGGCTGGCTGAGCCCTAGCTTAATGCCGAGTTTTGGTCAACTAAAATCAGTTCTTTCTCAGCCTGGAGTCTGGCTTCCCTCTCTCAGCAGCTGCTCCTGACCACTGGGAGCGGCGCAACTGCCGACTGCCGGCCTCAGCAAACCTCTGCCAGGGATGTGCGCTGCCAGTGCTGCTGCCAGGCAGGCTAAACCACACCTGGAGTTCACGCTCTGAAGTACTAATCCTGCATGGCCGTAATCTTACCCGGTGTATCGGACTAACCATGACTGGAGAAAAGGCTTCCAGTTAATTGTGGGGAAGGGAAGTCTCCCTGAGAGAAGCTTATCTCAGCGTACTTGCATGCCTGTGGCTGACAAATGTGTTACAAGACGTGCCCTGTGCTGGTTTTCCCCTCGCACAACAGGAAGCCTCTAACTGCTAGCGACTGGGAAGAGCAGGTAAATCTATAGCTAATAACTCCCTTCCCATGGGGCAGCTAAACTTGACAGAATCCTTGCTGTGTTGCAGGGCAGGAACCTAAATTATTTCCCCTAAGCCATCAAATCATCCTGCCCGTTTCCTTTTCCACTGCTGCATGTGTGTTTGTGTGTGTGTGTGTGCAGATATATATATAAAAATATTTTTATACATATATACATACCAGCTCTCTCCCGGCCAGCCGCCTTTCCATGCAAGAAGCCCATCATACAGCTGCTGGGTATACGGAGAAGGGGTCTGGCACTGCCAGGAGGGAGCAAGTGGTGGGCCATGGCTACCAGCCAGGGATGCTCTAGAGAGGGGCTTTTGGAGTCTGCTCCACTTCCTTCCCAAGCTCCCCATACATCTGCTGTGCACCAGGATGAGCCACGAGTCTCGCCTGATCCCAGGCATTTGGTCAAAGACGCCGGTCCCAAGTCACCCACAGCTTTTTGGAGTTGAGGGCCATGAGGATGTCCCAGCAGGCATCTCCTGGGCATCCGCTTCTCTTACAACTCAGCCTAGGGAAGGAGCATCCAGGGATTTGTGCGTTCCCGAGTGCTGGAGCATGTGTGTGCTGGAAGCCTAAAGGGCCTGCTGGGGAGGGAATGTGCTGCTGCGTCGGGGCTGACCCTTTCTCTGCTCTCTCCCTGCCTGCAGTGCTGGCGTGCGGCCGCCCCCAGGCCACGGCGGTGTACAAGGTATCCGAATACGCCAGGAGATTTGGTGTTCCCGTGATCGCAGATGGAGGGATCCAGACGGTTGGGCACATCGCAAAGGCCCTCGCGCTCGGGGCCTCCACAGGTGAGCGGTGCATCGTCTGGCTGGGTCGTGCACGTTGGAGGGAGTCTCCTAGGAAGGGTTTCTGTGTGGCATTTGATTCTGGGCATGAGGGTGTATACCTGCAGGTGGATGGGGACATGGGGGGTCCAGCACAGCGCTGTGCCCAGGGACCCGGAGGGTTTTTGCAGCCACAGCCTTCCTGCTGCTGACGTGCTGCTCTTGATGATCTCTTGTGCCAGTGATGATGGGCTCTCTCCTGGCTGCCACCACGGAGGCCCCAGGTGAATACTTCTTCTCGGATGGAATTAGGCTGAAGAAATACCGCGGCATGGGTTCACTAGATGCCATGGACAAGAACTTAGGCAGCCAGAACCGGTATTTCAGGTAAGAGACAGTGCTTTGGGGCAGCAGATCAAGCTTTTGGGGCTTCTCTGCTTCACAGACTTCTTTGATTTGTGCTCCCATGCAGTGAGACAGACAAAATCAAAGTGGCCCAGGGGGTCTCTGGCGCGGTGCAGGAC